TAATAATGATATTTCTAGCCAATATACTTAATTAGCAAGGATATTTTAGGAATGACAACACTTATTTATTACAAATAACTAACTTAACTTACTTCCTTAATCTCTTCAAATTAGTCAACTAGGTCTTATAATTAGGACCGGAGGTAGTATTGAAGTTCCTTAGGAGTATTTTTATTTTTATTTTATTGCCTTTTTCTCTCTTTCCGCATTGTGTACACAAAAACTTCTCAAATTAGTTTCAGCATTGAAGTAGCTTTTGACTCAAAATTCATATGAAAAAAAGCTGAGCCAAAATTTTTTTCAAGTCTCCACCTGCCAACAACCTACATTTACCTCATTCCAATGCATGTTTTCTTCTAAAAATGTGAAACCAAACACATGTTTAGGTAAACTTTTTTCATAGGCTTGACAATTATTTTTTCATCTTTGATTAATTAACCTCCCCTCCTTCCTAGTAGATGGCTGCTGAAGAAATATTCTTGAGACTTTTGTAACTCCATTTAAGTTTTGAGAATTCACTTTTAGTTAAAAAAATAGTTTTGAATTATGCTCAAACCTCCTTGTAAATACTTGATGATTCCACAGATGAAATGTTCATTTTTACCCGAAAAAGGAACAAATATAATGATTTACTCGTTGTAATAATCAATTTTTGATACAAAAAAGATAACTCAATATAAACCCAAACTGATTCCTATAAAAAAGACAAGAATTTTCTACTAAAATTAATTGACTTGGTTAGCTTTGGTTTTGAACCAAAATAAATCAGAAAAAAAAACAGCTCATAAACAATCCTAATTAGAATTATTTTTTCCTTTCGATATCAATATTATAATTCTCTCAGGCTCTCTCTCGTGCTGCGTCTCGAACGCGCAACCTTGCGGCTGAGACCATTTCTCCACGCCAGCAGACCACGCTAGACGCAAGCGATGTCAATATTAGCTAATAAACAAAACTGGAGTTGTCAGTGCGGCCCAATACAAAATCCAAAGCCCATTAGGCCCAACATAGATGAGTCTGGATCATTCTCAGACGCTTCTTTACAATTCTGCCCGCTTCTCTTTCAGATTCTTTTCTGCGGAGCGCGGACCTTCGCTCCTTTGCTTCCCTCTCCTCCCAGTTCGCACCATCGTCCGCCGTTGGTCGAAGTATACTCGATATATCCGCCGACTGACACTCTTCCCCTTCTCCTTCGCAGTACAGGTTGGTTTTCTTAACTCCGCATTATTCTCTAACTCTTTGTTCTCGCTCTGTTCTTGTTATTATTTTGTTTGATTGCCTGTTGAAATTCTTCAGAACGGTTTGAATTGTATCCACCATGAATTTGCTACCCGTTCCTGCTAATTGCCTTATTTCTTGCTTTGTTTTTTTTTTTTTTTTCTTTTCATTTTCAGTCTCTCTTCATTTCTATTTCGAATGTAATTTAGGTAAATGCAAAAGTTTGTTGATTTTCCTTTAAGTAAGATAGAAATCTTTAAGTTAAACAGGATGAGTGAATGTATTGGGTAGTAACTGAGAGGAGAGAAATAGGACTAAAAATGAGTGACTAAAACATACATTTGTTATACCTTCAATTATAACTTCCTATTATAATTTTGAAATGTCTTCCCTTTTTCCTGGGTTGAATAATTCTTGTGAAATTTTGATGAAGTGTTCACAAATGTAGGCTAAACGTGGCGTTCTGTTTCACTTGTTGTGACTGCAGTCTGCACCGTTGTCAGTTTGAAGTTCATGAATTGTGTTAGGAAAATTAACCATTTAATCATAGTTTCACGGAGATTAGCTTGACTCTCGCCACTCAATTCTTCAAGTTTTCGTTTTTATCACCATCCCTTATAGTTCAACTCCTTAGAGGTTTTTGTTTCTTATCGCTATCCGTCCCATTTTCTAGAAAACAGTTAAGTCCCTTATAACTCATTCTATGTGGTGCTAACAAAAATTAACAATGTTAAAATTTGCTTATTTGGCATCCTTATCAGTGCTACTTTTAGTTAAATAAAAGGGTTAATACAAATTTTAGTCCCTCAAATTTGAGCCCAATTTGGTATTGGTCCCTGAAATTTAAAACGTGTGGTATTGGTCCCTGAAATTATGTTCGTTTCAGACCGTTGGTCCCTGGCATCTTCGCACCGTTAAATTTTGCTGATGTGACGTTAACACCGTTAAACTGATGAGTTGGCATATGACCTGGACATGATATTGGTCCCTCAAATTTGGGGTCATTTTGGTATTGGTCCCTGAAATTTCAAACTGATGGTATTGGTCCCTCAAATTATATCTGTTTCTGGCCTTTGGTCCCTGATAGCTTTAGGCCCTTCTCTTTTTATCTGTTCCTGTAGAACCCTCTGCTTTGCTGTTATCTGGTCTCCGCGGCTCTGGCGGCTTGCTGGTTGTGCCTGCCTTTTTGTTGGAGTTGCCGGTGAGGTTCTTGTTGCTTCTACTCAAACTTCTTACTCTAGTAATGGGCTTCTCTTTTTTCTTGGGAGGTTCATCATCATCTGTACTAGAAGAAGATGGCTTCAATGGGAGTGGTTTTGTATCTGAAGCCGGCTTCTTCTTCTCATGAACTGTTAAGTCACCTTTTTGGCCAAAGGTAGCAGAGGAGGTAGAAGGTTTAGCTGAGAATGCACTGCATTTCCTCCACACTAATATAGGAGCAGAAGCTCTGTGTTTTGACAAAAGTGAATCCCAGATTGCATAAATTCTCTTCGACCATAACCTTTCATTGCTCATGCCACATCATCAAGTTTTAGTTGCCAAGTCAAATGCCGTATTATAGGTTAACAAAGTTCGAGCCAACTCAGACAAATTTGACGGCGTAAAGCTATCAAGAACCAACAGCCAGAAACAGATATAATTTGAGGAACCAATACCATCTATTTTAAATTTCAGGGACCAATACCAAAATGGCCTCAAATTTGAGGGACCAATACCACGTCCAGGTCATATGCCACCTATATGCCAACTCATCAGTTAACGGTGTTAACGCCACGTCAGCAAAATTTAACGGTGCCAAGATGCCAGGGATTAACGGTCTGAAACGGACATAATTTCAGAGACCAATACCACACGTTTTAAATTTCAGGGACTAATACCAAATTGGGTCCAAATTTGAGGGACCAAAATTTGTATTAACCCTAAATAAAATGACAATGAATTTTTTAGGAGTTTCGTAAATGGGATTATACCTAAGAAACGCAATGTAGGGTGAGAGCTAGAGATTGAGAACTAAGAATATGAAAAATGTCAAGAACCAGGAAATCATGCTTGGAGGAAGTATAAGGTCGATGCATTTTAGCTCTTTAAGAAGTGCAAGACGCATGCTATTTGGGTGATGCGAATCTAAAGAACATGTATGAATCTAGACAAAACAAAAAGGTGCTGAACGACTATTCAAAAAAGTATTGGTAAGCGAGAAAATTTTTCGGTAGCGGGGGAAATCATATAAGTAGTATATTAGGGCCCACCAGAAGCAATAGTTGATTTCAAATATCCTAGTTGATATTTGTAGCTTGGTGGTAATGGGTGCCCTTTTTTTTTTTTTTTTTGGGAATTGTTTAAGTGAGCATCTTCATAAAGTTTTGTAGCCTCCCTAATTCATGTGCTTGTTGTTAATGGGTGCTTGTATTACTGAATGTGATTGAAAATACCTGGGTTGATCTAACTATGCTATGATTTAACCGAATATAAAGTTATATGATGATTCATTTTGGTTCTCATAATGTGCAACATATAAGGTGTGAAGTAAATGGATGCTTTTGGTGGCATGGGTAAGTTGATGTAGTTAGTTAGTGTTATAATGTGATTTCTTTATGGCGCATGTTTAACTATATGAAGCAAGGTAACGGGCGATTATGATTAGAGTCATGAAGGTTCAAGTAGTCTAAACAATGACTTTAGTATCCAAGGTTATGAAAGTGAAGTGTATGCTGGTGATAGTGTTGAAGAAGAAAATGTGAGCCCCTTGGTACTTTCTTTGTTAGTAAATTATATTTTAGGCAATTGAATTGTAAAAAAAATACTTAATTGAGACTAAACATGTTAGAACATAAATTTTCATGGAAGGCATTGAGACATGACGTGCGTGCATAAACGATCAAAAACAAATTTGCTATTCATGAACTCAGTTGAGGATATTAACAGGAGATATAACCTGATAGTTATTGAAGATGGAACAGCATGATAAATGTGTGAAGGTTGTTGCTTGGAATTATTTATGCCAGACTATCTCAACGGTTATGTGGGACTAGGGTATGTGTGAAACAATTGAAATGACATTGGCACGCTAATGGCAGTGATTAAACTAATGATGGGCGATCAGTCTCAGGTGTATCTTATTTCTGGCCGCGTTTTATATAGGTTCAGGTCTCTTGATGATCATATGGTGTAAATTTTACAGCTTCCTATATTGTATAATTGTTTCGCGAAGTCCGGCTAGAAAGTTTGTAGGCTATGATATTTATGATTTTTCAACATGCTATTAGAAGTTCTGGCCAAAAGAACGCTCGTACAAGGATTAGTCTAGTCTGTGGCTGAATGTCAATAGGAAAGAAGTTAGGCCTTGCTTACAGCGTCATTGTTTACAATAACAATTTTTTATAGCAAATCCATCATATAGGATATAATCAGGGAAATTTGAGGTTTTCTAATTTGATGGTTTGAACATTGAAGATAGTCAAGCCACCTGTCTGAACTGAGCATTTTTCTATAACAACATTCTCTTTATAACTGTACCAGTTACTTGATTGATGCAAAAAGCAAGGGGAGGGTGTTTTAATTACTGCTTCAGCCTAAGTATCTGATTTACTTTGCGGCCTTTTTATGTTTTGCTTTTTATAATCTTGGGGATCTGTAATTACTACTCATACACTGGAGGGTTTTCCAGTCTTTGCCTTGATACTGTCTATGTCTTGACTTCTCATTGCAAATCACTTCTTCTAGAAGAATGACACTTAACTCATTCACTTTCCATTTTATTCAACTTTGAAATATCCTTGCAGGCCTTCTGTATACAGCACAGCATTTAGGAGGTTGTTGAAAACATGGCCAAGCACCATCCCGATTTGATTATGTGCAGGAAGCAGCCAGGAATTGCGATCGGACGACTTTGCGAGAAATGTGATGGCAAGTGTGTGATCTGTGATTCTTATGTTCGTCCTTGTACGCTTGTCCGGGTCTGCGATGAGTGCAACTACGGCTCATTTCAAGGTCGTTGTGTCATATGTGGAGGAGTAGGAATCTCTGATGCTTACTACTGCAAGGAGTGTACACAACAAGAGAAAGATAGGGACGGATGCCCTAAAATTGTGAATTTAGGGAGTGCCAAAACTGATCTGTTTTATGAACGTAAAAAGTATGGTTTTAAGAAACGATGAGGAAGATGATGCTGGATTCTTGATATGTCTGTATCTTATTATTAAGACGGCTTTCTGAGATAAACGTATGGATGTCAGAAAGGAAAGGGTATGTATACATTTATCTGATGCATGATATGAATTGTTAGCAAGCTGACTTGTGTCTGTGGCTCCTTGCTTGAACATTGTTCAAATGCTGGTGACCAAGAACAGGAAATTAGTAACCTTTTTGTAATAACAACAATTAGCCTTGTTATTAGCCTTTTTGTTCTGGTGTGTAGCTTTCTCAGCTGCATGTTCAAAAAAGTTTTTGCAGAAAATTTTTGGGAGGGAGCTCCAATCTCCTATTTTTATTATTTATTACGATTGTTGTTATTATTATTATAAGTTTTTTTTTAACTTATGTCAAATGACCACTTAATGCAAGAATATTTAGAGCACTTGTTTTGATGCTGTCCAAATCAGGGCGCAAAGGCTATTTTTTTTAACAAAATCGATGAAGTCACTTTATTTTTTTAAAAAATTAATCAGTTCCTTGAAAGCTATTCCAAGCACAAAATGGTGAATGATGGATGTGAAGTGATAACTCTCATCCGCAAAAATTGTGGGGAGAGCCCCATGATCATGGACACCATCTATGAGAAAACTAAAACCCACTTTCAGCGAGATTATGAGCAATAAAACCTTTTAAGCTCTGATGGGTATTTTTAGATGGTTATAGTAACAATTTTCATGATTCCTTTAAATAAATAATGCCGTGTCCTTTTTTCACATAGGCTCTTCAAGATTTACACAAGACAAGGACCATGTCTACTCTATAGGCTGATATACGATATAAAATTTAGGAATCATATCACTTCTGATATTTAAACTTTTTTATGTTATTGATTGAGTTTCTAAATTTTTAGTTATGACAATTTTTACGATTTATTATGCAAAAGAATTATAAAAATTGAGTTGTAGCGAGTAAAACTTAAGAGCTGAGCTGTTTTCAATTCAAAAACTTTTTTTTTTGGGGTCATAATTCAATCACTTATTATACTTCTTTTAAAGGTTTCAGACTAACTTCATATTTAAAAAAGTCTTAAAAAACATTCGGTGTTATTGGGTTACAAGATCTCAGTAATTAAAAAATTATGTGAGCTCAGGTTTTCCGAACCAAGGTTCAAAAATTATACTCTTCCGGTCCTTAATATAGGATCCAATTCTTGAGTTGATTTTGATTCTAAATATAAGACCTATTTATCATATTTATCAATTTTCTCTAAATTACCCTAATTGATACTCCCTCAACTATAATCAAGTAGAAAAGGGAGAGGGAGGATTAAGAAAGATGATTATGGTGTTTTAGGAAAAATGTGTCACTTTTCTTATAATTAACTAACTTACTTAACTTCCTTAATTTAATCAAATTAGTTAAATGGGTCTTATATTAAGGATAGGAGGAGTATTAATAATTAGTGAAAGTTTTAGAATCCGAAAGTTATATATTTTTTTCCTAAAAATATAAAGTCATATTAAAGTGGCCTCAAATCTTTCTTCAAATATTTAATGACCACCTAGAAGGTCAAATACGACAGAGAAGCCAAGCCAATGGCCAAATGTCAAAGGCAGAGGTTCCCATGTCAGCAACGGACTCGCCTAATCCTCATGGGATGCATTGCTCACCAAGTCAAACTCATCAACACCCGCACCTCCTGGAGACTTGGACCTTCTCGCTCGCTTTCCTTCCCTTCTTTCTTCTTCTTCTGATTTCAATTCTCTGATGCATCCCTCCTGATCCATTACCACATCCAAGTTTACCCAAAACACAATTCAACATGGCTTGGTTCAGAAATCTTGCAAGATTTTCTGCCATTAACGTATCCCGGAGACAAGACCCATTTCTTCTATCTTCTTTCAAACTTTTCAGTTCCAACATTAATACTGATCCGACTGTAGAAAAACCGTCGGTTGAGCCGGTTCAGTATTCGGGTTTGGGACCTGCGAAGCCCCATGAGAAGCCGCGAGTGGTAGTGCTGGGTTCTGGGTGGGCTGGATGCAGGCTAATGAAGGGGTTGGACCCTGAAATCTATGACATTGTTTGCGTCTCACCTCGAAACCATATGGTCTTCACGCCTCTGTTGGCTTCCACGTGCGTTGGAACTCTGGAATTTAGATCTGTTGCTGAACCCATTGCGAGGATCCAACCTGCTATTTCTAGGGAGCCTGGTTCCTATTTCTTCCTTTCCAATTGTACTGGAATTAGTGCAGATAAGCACATGGTTTGCTCACTTTTTCCTTAATTTTTGTCCATTTTCTATATTTGTACATGAAGAGAATGGATTAGAAGAGTGCGCTTTTACATCTGTTGGAAATGCTAATTTGGTTGCATATGTTGAGAAGTCAGTCTCCAAAGAATTTGCTGGATTGAGGTTGCTCAATGAATACATTTGGAAATTGACTTCCTGGTTGGGTGAAGATAAGCATATGTGGGCATTAATATCTTTTGACTGTGTCTCTGTTGTATGCGTTGACTTTAGGATGAGCTAACGAGATACTATTTGTTGTAGAAAATTTTTTCCGACTCAATGAATTGGTTAAGTATTATAGGAAAGTTGATCATGATTCGGTGACTTGATTATTGACCTGCTTGGCCTATTTGTAGATCATATAACCTTGTCCTTCCCATATGTTGCCAAGGATTGATATGTGAGGCTTTCCGTCACCCAACTTTGCACCCTAAAGTTTAGCAAAGGCTCTTCTTGTTATTTGTGTGACCATCGATAAAAACTACATAATAGATGCTTCACGATGGATAGCATGACATGCATTATCTAGCAACTTTAGGATTATGAAATATGTTTATGGCGCATGGAATTGAATGTCAACACTACAACTGGTAAAGAAACATGTTTTTTTTTTTCCCCATTAAATTGAACTTCCAAATGAAGTGTGGAAAGCAAAAAATGAAACACGAACTCCTTTTCTATCACGCATCCCCACCCCAAATATGTCCTTCTGGTTATCTGATTCCACTTTAGAACAAAATATTTGAAAAAGTTGAAAACATGATTCTTGAATTAGTTTGAACTTCACTACTTACAGTTTCTGACCTGTGTAAAATTTGGTTCTTGGTTTTGAAGGTTCATTGTGAGACTGTAACTGATGGTGAACAAGCCCTAGAGCCTTGGAGTTTTACGGTCTCATATGATAAGCTTGTAATTGCATTAGGAGCACAGCCCACCACCTTTGGAATTCATGGAGTCAAAGAACATGCAATTTTTCTTCGTGAAGTTCACCATGCTCAGGAAATTCGCAGGAAGTTGCTTCTTAACTTGATGTTGTCTGATGTGCCAGGTAGGTAATGATAATGTTACTACACTGGCTAAATATAAAGTCATATCATGAAAGGCTCTGCTACAAGATTCTCATTTTTATATGATTTGGATGCAGGCGTTTCAGAAGAGGAAAAGCGAAGGCTTTTGCACTGTGTGGTTGTGGGAGGTGGTCCCACTGGAGTTGAATTCAGTGGTGAACTTAGTGATTTTATCACGAGAGATGTCCGTCAAAGATATGCCCATGTGAAGGATTACATCCATGTTACTTTAATTGAGGTACGTATCACTAAATCTATGCATAACTAATTAGTAAATAGAATATATTTGCCATGGGGAATCCCTACATTTTCTGGACCCCGTTTTTAATGGAACTTAATTGCCACTTTATTGCTGTAAAAAGGTTGTCTTTTCGAACTATTTGACTGTTAAGCAATTCATTCATGTCTTCACAGGCAAATGAGATATTGTCTTCCTTTGATGTCCGTCTCAGGAATTATGCTACCAAGCAGTTGACAAAGGTGAGGTATTTGTTAAAAGGCTTGTTTCTATATGCCCAAAAAATCCAGTCCATATTGAACTGTTTATTGTCACATGGAAGGGAAAAGTGGGTTTTACTTGGGTTTTCACGTCAAATGATGAAGTACATGGGGTAGTAATAGACTAAAAATAATTAAAATAGCCTCTTTCATGGAAAGGCGTTTAGGGTCTTTCATATGATGTGCAATACTTTTCAACTTTTTATCACATCTTTAGGCCTTCAGCTGGGGTATTATATATATTTATGATTGATTTTTTGTAGTTTCTCTCAGTCAGGAGTTCGTCTTGTCCGTGGTACTGTGAAAGATGTTCAAGATCAGAATATTATCCTTAATGATGGCACTGAGGTTCCATATGGTTTGCTGGTATGGTCTACTGGCGTTGGACCGTCACCTCTTGTTCACGCTTTAGATCTTCCCAAAGCTCCTGGTGGAGGAAGGTAAGTGTTGTTATTTAGCATATTTACATATCATTCTCAGTGACAATCAAACCATTGTATGTATTATGTATGTGAATAGTAGGCACATATTTTCCCCTGTCCATGATGCCACCGATTGGTTTCCCATTCGGTTTTTCTTTTGTGTTGGATTTCCTTTCAATTGTTTTTCTTTCTTGTTATTCTGTTGAAATGCCCTTTACTTTGCCTTTGTGTTCTCTTTTGTGATGTAACTACAATATTAGAATAGGAAACTGTGCTAAATAAAGTTCTGTCTTCACAGGATTGGTGTTGACGAATGGCTTCGTGTTCCTTCAGTGCAAGATGTTTTCTCAATAGGCGACTGCAGTGGATTTGTAGAAAGTACAGGAAGACAAACACTTCCAGCCTTGGCCCAAGTAAGTGGTCTTTGGTTTTATGTTTTCTCCAATACAAGCCCGCATTCCTTAAATTTCTCTCTTCATAATATGAGTCGGTTTTGGATTTAAGATGTGGGACACATTTAATTGTGCACGTGTTCCGTTCAACTTAGCAGTAACATAACTGCTCATGGTTGACAAACTATTGCTTGTTTCCGCATCACTGTTAAGACATCGGCTTTGGATCCTCTCCATTCACAAAGTGAATTTGGAGGGGGAGAATATGGTTGGGTATAGGGCCAGAGTTTTGTACTTGGTCTCTTTCCAAATGTGCCTTCTATATTTATTCTGTGAATATAGAGGATCTGGCCACAAGTGATCTTCTAGCCATGTAATGTGTTGTTTATTGGAAATGAAAGGTGGCTGAGAGGCAAGGGAAATACTTAGCAAACCTCCTAAACAAAATTGGGAAAGCAGGAGGAGGGAGAGCAAACAGTGCAAAAGACATTGATTTGGGAGAACCATTTGTCTACAAGCACCTTGGAAGCATGGCATCTGTTGGCAGCTACAAGGCTCTCGTGGACCTTAGACAGAGCAAGGTGATCTTTTTATTTATTTATTTATTATTGTTATTGTTTTTGTAACTGTCTAGTATCTGGTACTACTGAGAGCCTATTTGTTTAAGCTTAGTAAAGTTATTCTAATTAAGCCAAACACGAGATATTTGTTTGTTTTAAGTTTCTTAAAATAACCACTTTCAAAGAAGAAAAATCTGTTTTTGGTTTTTTAAGATAAAAAAAAAACTTAGATTAGCTTTTAACAATAATCACTTTCTTAAAATGTTCTTTTTTATGTTCTTTATTGTGTAATGATTTTATGAGTTGAGCCAAACAACCATCACTCTTTTAAATAATCTGAAAGTAACTTCTTTTTAATCTTAAACAAACAGGCCAGCATTGTTTCTTTCCCATTTAGAAGGATTGAATCTAAGACTTTGCTTAGGAGAATTGAATTCTTTCTGCTCCATTCAACCGTCTGTTCATTTCTAGCTTTGTCCTGATGATTTTAAAACTAAGAGTCTGAATCATTTAAAAATTGTGCTGCAGGAGGCAAAAGGTATATCACTGGCAGGATTTGTCAGTTGGTTCATTTGGCGATCAGCCTATCTTACGCGTGTTGTGAGCTGGAGAAACAGATTCTATGTGGCAATCAACTGGGCTACAACTCTTGTATTTGGTCGTGATATCAGCAGGATATGAGACTTCAGAGGTGTAATCGCTGGGCAACAATCCTTTGTCTTCTTGTATTTACGCAAATAAATGTATATAGCGTATACAAAGAGACACAAGAAATAACACAAATTCACAGCAGATGTAAAGATCTGATATCACATTTTTTTCCCATCTCTATGTTTTCTTCATTTAGAGGGGTGGGAACTGACATCTTGGAATTACAATCTTCTGCTTACAAGAAAACATGCATGCGACTAGATTGCAAGGTTATTTGGAGAGATTAAGAACATTAATAACTTATTTAATTACAGCATATGTTATACGATCTTTCTAAAATACTTACATGAATCATTAGATGATATATCAACTTATAAATGAGGAAAATTAGTTTGGATAAAGGCGATCAATATAAATATTTTAAAATAATTTAGTAACTTTCTCAAGGTAGTCAATCAGATCCCGGATTAAAGACTGGGGGCAATATTACACTAAGAACCCAAGCCGTTGATATGTTTAATGATGAGAATATTTAGAATTCAATTTGCATTCAGTAGTGAGCAAGACATTCCACTGTACACATTATTGATAGGCTCAAATGTCTCTTATCCCACAAGCTCATGTCGTTACTTATCAAGAATATTTCCCTATAATTGTAGATACTATATTGCTTTTAAAATGACAGTCCAGTTTAAATCTTTTTCTTTTTTTTTTGCCAGCCAGTTGCTCTTCCCTTTTATTATTTCTATAAAATCTAATTTGTAAGAAAATTAATAAATTAAAAAAGAAATTTTTTATTGTATTGTTATGGTTTAAACTTTAAAACAGTGGCTTTTACCCAACTTTATCATCCGAACTAGTCAATCGATAAAAGAATTTAATTAGACGAACATTGTTTCACTATATATTAATATAGCACAATAAATTTAAATACGCACAAACGCTCTATGTTCTTGACAGTAAAGGAAATTGTTTTAAAAATGTTAATCTTATCATATTCCATGTTAATATAAAATCTCAAACCCAACACTGCATATAAAAAGTGCTTCTTTTGGTTAATAAATTCATATAAGGGTTAATTCTCTCGTCTTCTACTTTTTTGAGTCTAATTTAACCACCATCTGTTGACCGAAAATAGTGGTTTATATTATTAAAATGTAAGGGTTAAGATAATTTTTTGTCCTTAAAATTTGAATCCATTTTGGTTTTAGTCTCTCAATTTTTAAACTTGTGGTTTTAGTCATTGAAATTTAGTCTATGTTAAAGTGTTAGTTCCTAAAAATGTAACAGTGTTAAACCTGCTGAAATGTCATAAACGCATTATAGTAATGATGAGGACTCATTAGATGACCCAACAGTATCATGGGCAGATAGCATATTATACAAGAGGGGATGAGTTTTCAAAATACAGTGTAATGAATAGCTTCTCAAACAAACAGTAAGAAAAAATAGGGGGACTAAATAGCTATGTTTTGAGAACTTGTTCTTATTTTTCCCCCTCTATTATCCATACAAGGTCCAACTAGATATTGTTTAGTGAGTTTATATTACCACTTTAATACCATTTATGGCATTTTAGCAAATTTTAATACCATTATGCTTTCAAGGATTAATGTTAATATATAATGAATTTGAGGGACTAAGATCACGGGTTCGAAAATTTGAAAGAATAAAATCAAAATAGGCCCAAATTTTAGGGAGCTAAAATTATATTAACCCAACGTGTAAAAGAGGTTTGTAAAACTTTCTAAACATACCCTTGTCAAAAGCCAATGCTAAGTCAATTATGGTGAATTAATTATTTATAAAGTTTAATTGTATCAAAAGACATAATATAAAAAAATATTAAATGCTCTAGATATTATCAAATTGAAGTTATATTTTGAATCAAATTAAGTTGGGACTTGGGAGACAGTGACTTATATTATAAATTATAAACAGGATATCATATCTTTCTTTCTCACAATGCCCTTATTATTGAGTTATTTTTATCTCTACACATTAAATTTCAATCATTAAACAATGAGGGCATTTTTTAAGAGGTGTTTCAAATTTTCTACATAGCTACAATCAAGCCGTGAAAAGTTAAAACCTTATATTTAATATTGGAAGGAGAGAGAATAATTTTAAGATTTCAGGAAGCTTTTGAATGTTTTTTCCAACATGTAAGTCACCTGATGCATATTTTCACATACCAAGTAATGGGCTAATTTGACAATTTTTCAAATTTACCGTCATTTAAGTTTTTCGTTTTGTCCTCTTCATTCACAAATCATTCTCACGTCTCTTCTTTCTTTCTCTCTTTCCAAGTAGAATTAAATAAGAGTAAAATTAGAAAACAAACAATAAATATACTACAAGTGAGTTACATTTAGGGTCAAAACTTCTTCCTATAAGTGATTTATATTTAGGACTAAAGTAATATTAGTATCAACCGTCAAATGGTATTTAAAAAATGCTACTTAAGGGACGTTTTAGGGAAAGTACTAGGTGCCCATTTGGATTAGCAATAATAAAATTAGCTTTTTTTCAATTTAAATTTTAAAAAAATTAGATTGGTTAATGTGATTTATGTTTAAATTGACTTTTGAAAAAGTTAGATTGAGTAAAAGTAAAAGTTGTTTGAATCATGATTGAATAAGTGAGTTTAGTTTGTAAAATTACTAAAATGGGCATGACTTTTATTACATGATATAAAATAAAAAAATCATCAATTTAGAGAATGTAATAATTTAAATGATTTTAATTGGAAGAAGTTAAATATAATGAACAAAATATATGCTCATCACGTTCTAAATATAAGACCAATTTTGTAATACAAAATAGGTTTTATATTTAGGATCAGAAGAGTATAAATTAGAGAATTTACATAATGCATTTTTTAATATGAAAATAATTTTCAGATTTAGATTTAATTCAAATAAAAATTTCCCAATATATCATAGAAGTAAGATACCAAAAGGTCAAAAAGAGGGGGAAAAAAATCTCTACATTGCTAGCTACTGTTAACCAATGTGTACAATTCCACCACCTCTCTTATTTAATTATTTTTTATTTACAGCTTTTCTCAGGGTCTAGAATCCTTTTTTGTTCTTCATCTCCTTTCTCTCGCTCATTCATCTTGGGTGCGAGGGGGGCTGTCTGGGAGTGCTGGTAGAAAAATAATTTCAAAAAACCTCAGTTTATTTAATGGCTTTTTTGGCACGCAAGAAAAATGTTTTGGTGAAACTTTTTATAAACCTGAGTACCAGAGGGAAGGAGTCGTTTCAATATCTTTTTTTCTTTTGTTTTTTTTTTTTCCCGGTTTAACTTCAATATCCTAGTTCTGTTACATCGTATATCATTTCATAGCCAAATCACTTGGCTCTCGATTTGATTATCTTTTCACAGCACAATTTCATGGATGTCCAGTAATTTGAATCTGGAATCAAACTTGCAAATGTATTAAAATAAGATATTGTGGGGTTCAAATTCAAGATCACCCAACGACGTACTTTTTTGGTTTGGTTAACAAGCAAATTTGTCTAAGCATACTTCTATTGCGCAAGAAAAGAGAGAACGCAAACGTCACATACAGATTTATAGCTTGAAATTAGAGCTGGCTTGATGACTATGAAAGGGGGAAAAGTTGAAATTATAATTTTGATGTTCTTTCCTTAGATATATACAATGATTATTCTTTCATTCTCTTCTTCATTTCACCTAAAATGTATATCCAAATTCATATCCTAGTGTAAATATTAATTTCTGACTTAAGAGTTGGCCAAAAAACAAGAAGAATCTGACGCAAGACAAGCCTGAAAGAACTAAAAATCGGTTTTTTGCACATGGACAATTAAGGTTCCAGTATTATTAACTACAGAGATGAAAACCCTACAATATGACATTACTTGGCTATTGGTATAATGGCATCTACTTCACAAAGAAAAGGGAAGTCCACTAGCATCTTTCATGAAAGGCATAAGAACCTAGGACCACAATTCTGGCACACCAACAGCAAGCCTTGCATTTGACATCTTTCTGCCAACGAGTTCTTTCAGCTCAATCTCTCCGGGGAACCTTCCCTCTTTCAGTTTAGAGAACACCTTCAAAGTGAAGACAAGAGATTAGCAAGATCCCAGTATATAGAATAAAGACAGCGCATATCTATTTTACATGTGAAGGAGGGATTTATTTCTATTGGTTATTGGGTGTCACATAACGGTTCATGTATGATTAATTCAGTACGTCCGGTATTCTGGAGCATAAGAATTCATCCACGAATCGAATACTCGACCTATGTAGTAAACATGAGGAAAACCAAAGACCAAAGAGATGAATAAAGATACCAGAGAGAGATCCGCCTTACTCCAAGGAAAAGGATATGCAGATAAGATGGTAAGAGTCTGATATTGGATTGAACTCTTAAAATACTTAGAGAAAGTCTATAATATCCACGACTCAATCTCAAACAAGTTTCATGATGTTGGAGTTAAAATCACATAACTACAGATTTCCTCAAGCAAACAGCTGTGCTAGCAAGACGTGATATATAAGCTCTATGATTGTAGATGGAAAGTTTCTAGCAAATATTAACTGAAAAAGATTATATGGCATGGTAAGCAAGCTGATGAAGCAACTTCAGTGACACTTCTTGCATAGAGACACAATTCATACGAAAGGTAGTATTCACTAAACAGAGGATCTAATCCACTAGCAAATCACCATTCATAAAGTATTTTCGCAAACAAAAGACAGAAGGGAGACAACCAACCAGTTCGTCATTGAAGTAAACTTCGAATGCTCCAGAACTTTGTAGGAACGACTGCAAGGCATTCCCCAGAAGCCAGGTACTAGCCATGGTTCCGAACTTATTAGCACGCAAGTTATAATACCAAGGAGGTGGTGCCACGTAACCTAACATTGGAAAAATCTGTTCCCCTGCCATTACGACCGCTATAACACCAATCTGCACAACTGGAACCACTTTGCTCAGCAGACGTTTTGGGAGTGGTGGGGGATAATTTGCAAGGACAACATCTAACCCTGGAAATTGAGTTTCCAGCATAGTCTTCATAGTTACTGCTGTTCCCCTACAAACAGCAAATCTTTCTCTCTTAATACAAAACTATGGGTCACAATGCAAATAATGAACGAAATATGAGAAAAAACATGAACAAAAAGATTAGAAATTTTCTGGAACTCTCTCGTTGACTTCTAATCTATGAAGCAAATACTTCAAAAATTAGGCTGTGCCCTGACTGTTACATGTCCAATCCTTAAATCAAACAACCAGACACTTCAAATAAACACATGTATGTGGTTCTGCCGCAACGGTTCTTGGCTACTGATCCGAAGCAGATGATACCAACCACATAAGAACTTGCATTCTCTACACAATGCGGCCAATTCAAGTAACGAAACAAAGCAGATGGTATCATTAACATGAAATTTTGCAGCCTTCACAGTTAAACAAACAATTGATAATAGATTAAACTCGTAGACAGGGTCAATCCCTCAATTAAAGAAACGAACAAATGGAATTGCATGTAAGTTTATCACATAAAAAACAGAATCATCGTCACCGCAAATTAATCACTTACAAACTACAATCAACAACCTGAGCGCACCAGAATTTCATTAGAGGGAGAGAGGGAGAGAGAGAATTCAAGAATAGTAAAATCACGCGAACCTGTAGGAGCAGGAAGCACAGAAATTGATGTTTACAGTGTTACCAAGACCCACGCCTCCAAGACCGCTCGATTTCTGAAATTACAAGACAAATAATGAAATAACAAAAAAATTCCAGACGAAGATAAATTCACTTCATGAAACCGAAACCATACCTCAGAGGGAAACTCCATGGTATCAGGGTCAACAGCTGTTCGCTGCTGCGAGTGGGGCGGCGGCTGCTGGTGGTGGTGGTGATGGTGGTGGTGGCGGCCATGAGGGGGCTTCGCTGGAGGCGGAGAGAACAGGCCGATAAGGTCAGAACAAAAGAGGAAAAGCGGCAATCCGAGCAACAACAATTGAGCACGATCCATTGCAGAAGAGAGGAAGACAAACGCTGCTCGTCAATGCGGCGAAAGGAAAAGAAGCATTTGACGAGACTGAAAGGCCAGGCGCCCCTTTGTTTGGATATATGGATAGCATACGCCAGAGCGAACAGGGAGTATCCTACACCGGATAGGAACTGGGCTCATTTTTTATTTTTTAATTTGAGGCTTTTTAGCTCGTTTGAAACAACTTTAACTTGATACAATTTAGTTTTTATAGTTTAAATCATTTAAAATATCGGTTGTATATCTTATAAGGACTTATATGTCTATATAAAGGAAGTTATGCTAATTCAAAGTTTAGGGATTAAGTTTTAGCCAATTTAAGATTAGAGACCGAATTGTATTAAGTTAGATTTTAAGAACTTAATTACAAGCTTGTTAAAATAAGAGTCAAATAATTAAGTTTTTTCCCCTAAATATAAAGGCCACGAGGACCCACGAGAAGGAACTAATTGGTAATTTGCAGCTCAAATACAAGAATCTCAACGAGAACCACTCTACATTCTGTAGTTAGAACGTTCATGCCAATTGGTGTCTTTGATGAGTAAATTGTAGCACAATTATATTCTCTTGACATGTAACCAGAAGTAACAATTTACTTGGAATTTTAGAGATGAGTTTCAATAATTGCGATTTTTTATTGTATATTTATATTGATGGCTAATGTTGCTTGTGTGGGCAATCTAGTTTTAGAATTAGCTCAACATGAAAGTAATAGAATAGAGACTAATAAATAATTAAAAACCTTTAATAATATAAGTTATAAATAAGATTAAGGGTCCTGGCAACCAAAAAAAAATCCCAGATAAAGCCCTTCGAATATACACAATTCTATATTGGGTCCTGGAATTATGTAAAAGACAGAAAAGGTTAATGACCCAATCTGTCATTTGTAAAATTAAGAGCAATTGACAATTTTATCTTGATTAAGCAAAAATAAATAGTTATTCTCTAAACGAATCTAGGTAACGCTTATACTGTTCTAGTGATTACATGATTAGTTATAGTTAATAACAAGGCATTTTCTCATGAGGCATTTCTGACTACGAAAAAATGAGTAGTTATTTTCTACATGAATTTAGGTAACGCCTAAACCCTTATAGTGATTTCTTAAATTATTGTAGTGAATGAATACAAATGAAAGTAAAAGTAAGTAGTTATTCTCTAAACGAATCTAGGTGACGCTTACACTATTCTAGTGATTACATGATTAGTTGTAGTTAATAACAAGGCACCTTCTTATGAGGCACTCCTGATTACAAAAAAAAAAGTAGTTATTCTCTATATGAATCTAGGTAACACCTAAATTCTTACAGTGATTCCTTAAATTCTTATAGTAAATGAATACAAATGAAGACAAAATTGTCAATTCCTCTTGATTTTACAAATGACAGATTAGGTCATTGACCCTTTTCATCATTTACAAAATTCTAGAACTCAATCTAGAATTATATACATTCGAAGGGCTTTATCTGGAATTTTTCCAAAAAAATAAGGGCAATCTTTTAAAGCATTTTTCTTGGTTTAGAAAAAGTACCATCACGTTAATATTTTGATAAAAATATTGTATTTAATACCACTATCAAATTATTAAAAAAAACTTGTCTCTTGCTTTAGAAATCATCACAAGATATGTACAAGAAGAATAGCTACTATCCTGGCCCCAAAAAGAGAGAGAGAGAGAGAGAGAAGGACTGTTGTCATACGGAAAAATAAGAATTTTAGTACCGTGGTAGGCTCCCACAATTTTGGAGAAACTGATTCTCATATTCATCCACCCTACCAATAATCCTTACATGAACAAAGTCCACCTTTGAAATGGTGGAAGCAAGTCGAATCATTTACAAATATTTCACACCCATATGCCTGCGATATATATTTAGCTGTTCTATGACATTCCCTACACATCCTCAAATTTTTCACTATCCTGATTGCCTTATTTGCGTTGTGATGAGAATCTATCAAAGAAAATGCAAATGCTTGTTTTTCACTGTGTACAACACCAATGCCCTCCTCCTCTTCTTCCTCAATCCAAACCCCAATTTCAGAAACAGGTTTCTTGATCTTTAAAGCTACCCTTTCAACCCAAGAATGAAGTTTTTCCGAGAGAGGTTCAGACCCAGAACCAGTAACAAACGTATGGACCATATTTTTTGTTTCAATCCAGCACTTCCCAATAGGTTTCTCAGATTTTGTCATTTTTGGAGCTTCCCAATTTTTCCTACATAAAGAATATACCTGTGAAAGTAAATGGCGAATTACATTGTTTCCAGGTTCCAAGGTAAGCAGATGTTCCCCTGCAAGAGTTGCCAATCCGAAATTTTTGTGAAATCTACAGGCAGTCAGCATAGCAGCCCATACTGATGAGTTAGGCTCGATTGGCATATTTCTTATGAACTCCATAGCTTCTGCAAGCTTACCTGAACGTCCAAGTAAATGGACTACAGCAGCATAATGTTCTAGACCTGGTTTAATCTGATACTCTTCAGTGATGCTAGAGAAGGTACTCTTCCCCTCATTCACCATTCCTGCAAGACTGTAAGCTAAGATGATACTTGCAAAAGTACCTCTACTAGGTTGCAATCCTTCATTCTTCATCTGATGAACGAGTTGAAGAGCCGAATCAGATTGACCATGTAAAACATAGCCTGCAATCAAGGAGTTCCAGCTGATGATGTCTTTTGATGTCATACCTTCAAAAATGGTTCTTGAATATGTTATATACCCTGCCTTAGCGTAAGTGGCAATTAATGAATTTGATACAGAAGTCTCGGATGTTAGATTTCGACGCAGGGCACAACCATGAAGTTCTTTCACTTTCTTTCCTGCAACTAAATTAGCACAGGCATGGAGAACGCTCAATATTGTAACTGAGTTGGGAGTGATATGGGAAATCTGCATCTTTCGAAATATCCAAAAGGCTTTATCCTTCTGTTCGCTTTGCAGGTAACCAGAAATTAAAGAATTCCATGATGCAGTATTTCGCTTGATGTTCCCATCCTTCTCAATTCTTTGAAAAAGATCCAATGCCCGATCTTCATCCCCATTTTGTATATATCCTGTGATCATTATGTTCCAGGTGACAACATTAGGTGATACATCAGACTCCTGCATTCTCATAAATAATTCATGGGCTTTGCTACAGTAACCTGCTTGATAATATCCTCCAATAATTGTGTTCCAAGAGTATACATCTCTTTCTAACATCATATCAAAAACTCGCTGGGCAGCTTCCAGATTCCCACACTTTGAGTACATATCAATAAGTGAATTCGCAACTGGTAGATAGCCAACCAAACTCATCTTAACAGCCACACAATGGATTTCCAATCCCATATCTAGCGATTTCAAGGTTGCACATGCTGAGATTGCACTAGCTAATGTAATATCAGTGGGTTCTATCCCTGCTAAGAACATCCTGTTTAACAATTCAAATGCTTGATTTAGCCGGCTGTTCTGAGCAAACCCTGAAATCATTGAAGTCCAAGTATATACATCTGGCGTGATACCAACACTCTCCATCTCCCTCATTAGTTCCATCGCAGAATCACAACGCCCTAACTCATTGTAACTTGCAATTAATACGTTCCAAATTACTAAACCAGGCTCGATTCCCTCCTCATGCATTGCATCAAAATATGCACGAGCTTGTTCAATCTCACCCTTCTGGCAATACCCGCTTATTATAGCGTTCCAACTCACCATATCCCTCTCACCCATATTGGCGAAAAACTTCTCCGCACCATTCATATCCCCACTCTTAGCATACATAGTCAGAATTGAATTATTCACACGCATAGAATTGCTCATCCCACATCTAATAGCTAGAGAATGTATCAACTTCCCTGTCTCAAAATCACCACACTTTGTACACGCCAGCATAATCTTCGGAATCAATAACTGATCAGGCAAAAAACCATCCTCCGTCATACGATAAAAGAGCTCTATAGCTTCCTTCCAACTCCGCCCTCTTGAGCAAGCACCAATCATGGCCGACCAAGCATACAAATTTCTCTCGCGCATTTTATCAAACACCTTCCGAGCCTCTCCCAAATCCCCACACTTTGCATACATGCTCACCAGCTTGGTCTCAACAAAAGAGTTAACCTCCCCCACCAAACCAATTCGAGCATGCAATTCTCGACCCAACCCAATGCATTCTTGGTCAATGCAGGACTGTAGCAAATTAATGTAGGTTTTGGGTCTGACAGAGGACCCTTGTTGAGCGAGAGAGTCAAGAATTTTCACAGCCTCGCTCAGGGGACCTTCCACGCAGAGTTTATCCAAGCGGGTATTGATAGGTTTCGAATTTTTGGCGAAAGAGACTCTGGAGATGGGTTTGATATTCTTGGGGTGGAACTCCAGTTGAGTGCCATTTACACTGGATGAAGGGGTTAAAGACGGAGGCCTTGATTTACTGAGTATGATGAGGTTACTCTCCATTGATGGATTAGTTTGGAGAGAAATAAACAGAATGAGATGTACAGAGATGGGTGGAGACGAGTGCACAAGGAAGAAGAAAGGCCATTGATGGAAATGATAAGTGCACACTGGATAAGAAGATTCTTCTTGGCATCATAAGGTGTATTTGGATTAGCGACGACTGAACTAACTTTTTTCAATCTGGATAATAGGATAATGTGATTTATGTTTGGATTGGATTTTGTAAAAAAATCAGTTTGAGAAATGTAAACTTGTTTGGATGACTAATAAAAAAGTTAGTTTATATGTAAAATGAACCAAAAGGATATGAATTTTATTAAGTAATACTACCTTCAGTCCTTAGTATAAAAGCTAGTTTTGATATTAAATTTGATTCTAAATATAAAATAATAACTATTTATTATAAATAACTAATTTAATTAACTTTTTTAGTCTCTTCAAATTAACTAACTAGCTCTTATATTAAGGATCAGAGGTAGTACATATTTACTATGAAATGTATATAATGTGACAATTGTAAAAAAATATTCAAAATAAAATCATTTAAAATAAAAAATTAATTTATTATTAGAAAGAAATTAAAAAATGCTACCTTTCCACAGCACTGTTACTTTCCACCGGTAAAAGTAGGATTGAATAGCTTCTTTCATAAGTCCATTTGAGATCTAAAAGTCAGATTATATAAACGATGTGCCAAACACTACATTTTCTGAAAAAGCACCGTTTGCCATTTGAATCGCACGTTTTGGTGTCCAAACGTGAATGCAAACACACCCATAGTGGATAAGGAGGTCCTGCAACTGGGGAAAGTCTTCAGCGTGTGGATAATGAAAGGAAATTAATAGCATTAAGGGTACGTTTGGTACGAGGGAAATGAAGAGAAGGGGAGGAGATGAAAAATTTTAATGAGCTTATTTTAAAATATTGAAGAAGTGGGTTATCAAATTTTGAAAAGGGAAAAATCTAAGATAAAAGAGTAATTAAAATTAATCAAAAAAATTTAATCCCACTTCTTCAATTTTCTAAAATGAGCTCAACAGAATTTTCCCTTCCCTCCCTTTCCCCCCTCGTACCAAACAGGCCCTAAGACATTTTTTCTAATACGAAATAACATGTAAAAGTGACAATAATTTATTTGGGAATAATAAATTTTGATTGTGAAATAACAAGTCTAGACATGTGCTCCGATGATATGTTAAACAAATAACTATTTGTAAAAATAAAAAATAAATTAAGGAAAAAGGAAAATTTTTTTAAATTTGTTAAAAAATTTTAGCCAAGATTTAGGCCTTATGAAGGGTAAATTAGTAAATAAAAAATGTCTTAATATAAATTTTAATTAAAAAAGTATCTTTTCGGAATATTTTTTAACAAATTTAACAATTTGGACTTAAGTATCTGTCTTTAAAATAGAAGAAAAATCAGTATAATTAGAGCAAAGTATAAGAAAGATCAGAGTATTTTATTCTAATTATTAACGCTGTTATTTTTAATTAAATTATATTATTTTAATATGATATGTTGACTCTAAAACCGATTCTTAAACCACTACCTTCAAGTGGTTTTTTTTTTTTGTGGTTTATTACTATTAACAAGTTTAGTATAACAGTTAATAACAATTTTCAGGAATTTCAAAAAGTAATATTTTTACAACTTAAGTAATGCGATTAACAAGTTATATAATGATCATGGAAGAAAAAACCGGACCGGACTGGCCGGTTCAACCAGAAAACCGGTGAATCGGTCTAGTGTCCGATCTGGTTTACTAAGTGAACCAGATACTGTTTAAATCGGTATTGAACCAGTTAAATCGGTCAAAGCCGATGTTAAACCGGATAAATCGGTCTTCTAATCGAACTTTGCTGACGCTCGTGGTCATTGTTTTCACTCTGTGTCTTGCTCCATCGCCGTCTCTTACTGCATGGCTGTTGCTACTGGACTTCATCTCAGTATTTCTCTTCCAAGACGCCGCTCATGTTGTTGGAAGAAAAGGATAAAGAAAAGGAAGAAAACACCCTATGCTGGTTGAAAGTAACGTGAAAGAGAGGGGAGAGGGGAGCCTCGGGGGAAAATGACGAAGCAGAAATGCAAAGAGAGAGAAGTGAAAGGCTTTTTTACCGAAATACGATAAACAGTAAAAGTTTTTACCAAAATACTGCACTTTTAAAACTATTTACCAATATACTACACTTAAAATCGTTCTTGGCAAGAATGATTTTCAAATTATACACAAGTCGTTCTTGGCGTGAACGATTTCACTTTTTAATTTTTTTTTTAAAATGAAAAAGTAAAATCATTCTTGGCGTGAACGATTTCAGAAATCGTTCATGCCAAGAACGATTTCACTTTTTCTTGTTCACCCCATGCGTCTGAATTGCTGCCAATTATGTGTGCAAAACCATACGTCTGAATTTCTGCCAATTATGCCTCTGAATTTCTACCAATTATGCATGCAAAACTTCTACCAATTATGCATGCAAAACCAACCAATTATGCGTCTGAATTTCTGCCAATTATGCATGCAAAACCAACCAATTATGCGTGCAAGACCAGCCAATTATGTGTGCTCTATAAACATCTTTGACATAGCATGTGAGAATCCCGTGAGGCTATAGCTATGGCTTTATATATATGATATGTGAATTCCTTCTCTTCACACCTCTTCACTTCTTCTTCTTCGCTGAGTTTTCTTTTCTTCTTCTTCTCACTTGTTGTTTCATTTTCATTATTCTCTTGTACTATTAATTTTTCACTCTTGTTTCCAAACAAGACAAGCTCTTTTACTGCTGCTGTAGGTATGTTATTTCTCTTCTATTTTTTCTTTTAAAAAATTTACAGTTGTGATATACAATTTGATTTTTCATCCATACTATCCTTGATGAGTTAATATTTCATTGTTCTAATTTTCAGGAAGTGAGTGGTGGGTTCAACAATCTGGAATATTTGTACTTTTTCTAAGCTAGGTGCCTCTTATTTTAACGGTAAAACTATCATCTGTTATATTGTTTTAAGATGTTAAAATTTTGATATAAGCTTCATTTTTTCTTGGTATATGATTATTATTTTTTGTTATGAAAGTATACTTCTCGAGAAGTTTAAATTTGGTAAGATAAAATTGAAAAATAATTATATATACGCCCTAAATATCAAATATGTGGTATATATTTAGTTGGTAAATTAAAAAAAAAAGTCTTCTACCCACTTCTAATGAACCATTGCTTTCATATATTTTTTAGGTAAAAATAAGGTGTAAGTAAAATTGAAATGAATGAAGAGCACTCATAATTTCTTTTTTTTATTTTGCCTTTTCCATGCTATTTGTTATGTTGTATTTTTTAATTGATGATGACATGTCATGATATGAGTGTTTTGAATCAAGAATAAAATACTCTGACTATTCTTCTAGTTTGCATCAATTACATAGATCTTTCTTCTATTTTAAAAGCATACATCTAGTCCAATTAGTTAACACTATTAATAGAAGTATTCTAAAAAGATTCTAAAAATATTATTTTTAACTGAAATTTATATTAAAATAAAATTTATTTACTATTTTACTTCTGATTCTAATAAAGTCTTAAATTATATTTTTATAGTTACATTAATTTCAATCAGTTAAGGCAAACATAAAAGATTTGATTAAAATTTTATCTAATTTTTTATAATAAATATATATTTAACTAAGTATGTTTATAAATCTTTGTAATAAAGAAGTGTTTAAAAGTTTTGAATTATAAATTGAAATAACTTATAAAATCTTTTAAACTTATATAATTTAAATTCTATGATAAATAAAAACTAGGAATTTGAAATATATTTTTACAATTTAAAAGAAATTAAAGTAAATAATTTTTAATGAATGTGATAAACTAGAGAAAAAAATCTTTATTTTTGAACCCTTCATTTCAACCCAATGGTCTAAAAGATTTTAGTCCAATTAAATGTTTAATTTCATGCAATAAATTAATATTTATTAAATTAAATTTTACAAAAATAATGAAATAATAAATAGGTATTATAAGGTATAAATAATATATATGTGTAAAATGAAAAAAAATCTTCATGATATGTTATTATTAAAATAATATTACAAGAAAGAATTTCTAATATTAAAAAAAATATGTTTAATGTATTTTATATAGTGCAATAATATATTAATTAATACTTGATGTAAATAAAATTATAGAAATACAAAAAGAAACAAAAGGAAAAAAAACTCTATTTCTTAAACTTATTTATTTATTTTAATTACAAATAAATAATTTACAAAAAATGATTAAAAAGTTCTGAAAATTACTAAATTTGTAATCAAGTTTGTTTACTATACTTTAACAGATTTTGACAATAATAGCAATAACACATCTTTTATAGTAGTTTTTAATTTGGATTTATGCAGTTTTCATTATATATTTTTTCCCCTTAGATATGGATTTCATTATGTGTTTGGTTATATAGGATATTCTGAGCTAATAATAAATATTGATTTTACAAAAAAGCAATGGTATAGTGGAGTTAATTTATTTGTATAATTTAATCTTACTTGACTAATGATTATAATGAAATGATTAGGAAGTAGAATGGATCATAGAAAGGAGTTCGTGTGTGTATTCGCAAATGGACGAATTTTTAATGGCCCAGCTGGTGTAACATTTGAATCTGATAATGTGAAAATTATCAAAGTTGATGAAAACATTACCTTGGGCAAATTGAAGCAAGTTATTGGACGAAAGTTGCGACTTCCTCCCTATCAAAACGTGACAAATTTAGTATATAGGTATCCTACATGCATAAATCCACCACAATACCAAGCATGCAATTTGGAAGATGATACAGATATAAAACAAATGTGGCAAGTGACTAGAAGATTTTCAACTCAATTAACATGTGCAGAGTTGTATGCTAACATATGTGATTTACCAGATAATCACCATATTGAGTCACAACCCATAGGTGATTATGTCGAAAATATGCCCCCATCAAGTAGCAATAGGGTGAACATGATGGAACAAGAATCTATGTTTAGTGATGACATGGAAAGTTTCCAACCATTTGAACTCCCCATAGATGGTGGGAACATTATATCATCATGTTCTCTTCCTCACGTAGAAGATATCATGGATGAATCAGAGGATGAGGAAGAATATGATTCTTATTTAAATGCTGGTAATGGGGATGATAATGGTGACAATGACAATGAATATGACGAGATGAATGAGCAAAATCAGGTTACAAATGCTTCCTTGTCACAAATTCATGTTGAGTCAGTTACAACTCCTGAATTTGGTGAATTAGAAGATATTCTGCATGTTAGTGATAATGAAGAGTTAAATGTTGGGAAAATATTTAGCAATGTCCAAGTTTTAAGACGTGCAGTCAAGCTATATTCTGTTCGTGTTCATCATACATTTAAGGTCTATTATTCTTGTAAAAAGTATGAAGAATATCGTTGTGTTAACTATGGAGATAATTGCAATTGGAGAGTGAGGGCTTGCAAAAAGGAAAGCAAGAACTATTGGCAAATTACAAAATATGGGGGGCCTCACGTATGCTTGAGCACGTCATTAACTCAAGACCATCCAAAGTTGGACGCAGATGTTATATCATCCTGCATTGTGGCAATGGTAACTGACAAACCAGATGTGAAAGTGTCACAAATTATTGAGAGGATGCAATCAATGTTTGGTTATACTGTGTCATATAGGAAAGCATGGAAGGCAAAACAATTAGCAATTGCGATTGCCTTTGGAAATTGGGAGACCTCATATTCCTTGCTCCCAAGATGGTTAGCTGTAGTTCAACACTTCATGCCTGGGTCATGCATATATTTTTCAAACAAACAATGCTCTCAAGTCAATACAAACGGTCAACTGATTGAAATGTTTCATCGTGTTTTTTGGACATTCAAGCCATGCATAGATGCGTTTCTGTATTTAAAGCCCATTATACAAGTTGATGGAACATTCTTATATGGAAAATACAAGGGCACATTGCTTATGGCAATATCACAAGATGGCGATCGAAATGTTGTGCCACTTGCATTTGCTATAGTTGAAGGGGAAACAAGATCTGCTTGGGCATGGTTCTTACACCTTGTACGCCAATGTGTTGTAAAAGATAGAACAGGAATTTGCTTAATTTCAGATAGACATCGTTCAATTTTGGCTGCTGTTGCTCAACCCCAAGTTGGATGGCAACCACCACATGGACATCATGTTTTTTGTCTACGACACGTGGCTTCAAATCTTCACAAAGCACATGGAACAAATTGGTTAAAAGAGAAGTTTATAAATATCGGTGAGATTCCTTGTGCTTTTTATGATCTTATAACTATATGATTTTATAATCATTCTAACAAGTGCTAATAATAATATGTAGGGTATGCTTATGAACGTCATGTTGTTGACAGAGAATTAGCAGAAATAGCATTGCACCATACTCCTGCAGCTAGATGGATCGGAGCCATCCCAAAAGAGAAATGGTCACGTGCATATGACCTTGAAGGTCTTCGTTTTGGACACATGACAACCAATCTTGCAGAGTGCATGAATAATGTATTTAAAGGTGTTCGAAGTCTACCAATAACAGGTTTAGTTAAGGCAACCATGTATAGAGTCAATAATTATTTTGTCAAACGTGCCCAACAAGTTCATGCTCAAATTATGGTTGGTAAGGTATTTTCCGAGACAATGACAAAGAAGTTAGATATAGCAACACAAAGTGCATCTGCTTGTGTAGTTCGAGATTTTAACAGAATAGCAACATCATTTGAGGTTATGGAGCCATATAATGTTCGATGTCGTCAATTTCGTCGGTGTTGCAAGGTGAATTTGATTGACAGAAAATGTGATTGTGGAGAGTTTCAAGCAGAAAAGTTTCCATGTATGCATGCCATTGCTGCTTGTGCACGAGTAGGCATAGACCATTTACAATATGTGGATCCTGTTTTTCGGTTGGAAACTATGCAAATGGTTTATAATAATGAGTTCCAACCAGTGGGAGATGAGATGTACTGGCCACAGATTGATTGTCCTCTTCTAATACCTAACCCATCAATGATTAGAGATAAAGGACGTCCTCGCTCAAGTCGCATAAGAAATGAGATGGATTGGACCACACCCAATGAACCTAACAAGTGTGGATTATGTCGACAAGTTGGTCATAACCGTTCTACTTGTCCACAAAGTGTAGCATCTCGACAATAAATTATGTATTTCACTTTTTGTAATAAAAACATTATGTTTTATGAAGATTATATTATAATTAGTTTGATTTCTTTTATATTATTTGGAATTTGTCCTTTACCTTATGCAGAGACATTTTAAAATGGCACAACTTCCAGAAGAGGTGATAAATCCTGGCCCAGAGGATAACTCTCTTTTGTACTTGCAAACCCAACATATTTCCGAACATGTGTGGAATGATAATGTAAGTAAAATCTATTTCTTATATATTATTTCATTGATGTTTCTATAATAATATTTTTTTCCCTTTTCCACTATAGGTTAACAGGGTCCTACACACTAGACGAGTCATGCACGCTAATCAAATGATTAACCCACCTAATCAAATAATTGAATATCTTATATTAGCTGGATTTTATGGTGCTGCTCGAGTAGGACAGTTTGATTATGATCGAGGTTTGGTCTCAGCACTAGTTGAGAGGTGGCGTCCTGAGACTCATACATTTCACACTACACGTGGAGAATGCACCATAACATTAGAGGATGTAGCTAAACAATTGGGCCTTCCATGTGAAGGAATGGCAGTTATTGGCCGAACTGACTTTAATTGGCAAGACATGTGTGAATGTTTTCTAGGTATTAGACCATCTGCAGATAGACTAAGTGGGCAGCGACTACTTATAAGTTGGTTGGAAGAGAACTTTAATCACCTACCTGATAATGCGGATGATGTACAAGTTCAACAATTCACTCGTGCATATATCCTCAGGTTGATTGGTGGATATCTCATGCCAGATAGATCGGGTAGCAGGGTGTATCTAATGTACCTTCCACTACTTTATGATCTTCAAGAAGCTGGAAAATACAGTTGGGGATCAGCAGTTTTAGCTCACCTATACAGAGAATTGTGTAATGCTACTAACCCAACTGAGGATGGGATTGGAGGATGCTTATCATTACTTCATTTATGGGCATGGGATCGTTTTCCTATGCTAGCACCACAACAACCTAGGTATCCAGATCCACAATCTGATATCTACCCTCTCTTACCTCCTTTGGGTTTTAGGTATGCTAAATTTATTAACTAACTATTTGTTATGCTCTTATATTATTAAAATTATATAATTTTTAACATTACTTTTTTGTAATAACAGATGGAAAAATGTGAGACAAAACCCACGTCCACTTGCTGCGTCTTTAATCCGATATAGGAGCTTTCTGGATAAAATGACTGATGATGAGATAATATGGCAGCCATATGAATCTCCTTATGTGCGCCAATTGATTCCTGAGTATTGCTTGACAACACCCGAAATTTGCGTGCTTCAGTTCCTTTAATATGTTTTAATATTATAGAATGGCATCATCCTGACCGTGTACTACGGCAATTTGGTCGTCAGCAACCAATTCCTTCCATGCCTGTTCATTTGAGAAATTACCACACGATCCAATTACGAGGTAGAACAACTACAAATTAGATTGACAAATACGCAGATTTCATTCAAGCATGGGATAGATGGCCACATGTAATTGTTAATGCTCCTATAGCATTTGATGAACTTGATCGAATATCTCAGTACATGCAATGGTATTGGAGACATACAAGACGATGGATTCAACGTATCAGTAGCGATACGGGTCGTGCGGTAAGTTTTTCATTTTTTCACCATTAATATTATTTTATTTTACACAAAAAGTTTTATTATCTTATATCTTATTATTTTTTTCAGTCTGACATAGCAGAGGAGCTATACAGGCTTTCAATTAATTCTCGTTCAACATGCCCTAGTTGTGTTGATTATCGAGATAGGGTTGCTCGCGACCAGCGTAACATTTTACTTGCACTTAGAGAACAACGTTTTAATGTAAACCCTCAGCCTGCTCCACCAACAATTGAGTTGCCTCGGCCACAAATTCCTCGTGATAGACCAAGCAAGCGACGAGGTGGTTACTTGTCTACCCAACCTATAATTGAAAACGAAAATGCAAGGGAACAGGAACCTCCAATTTTTACTCAGGCTTCTGACATATCACCGTCACCATCATCCCCCTTCATCTCTATCGATCCTACACAACTTGAGTCTCATTACATGGCACCCTCATCATCATCCCCTTCCAACTCAGCCAATCCTTCTCAATTTCAACCATTCATGACTTTATTAGATAATCCTGCATTATTTTCAGCTGAATACAATGCTTCTACTTTTGAACATGGTGGACCATCAAATGAAGCATTTGTCACTCCTCGACAATCTATACATTTAAATGAATCACCCTGGTTTGATTTGAACACGCCAACTACACAAACAAATGAGACATTTGAAGCTCAAGAAATTGACATACAACAACAACGCCCACAACGTATGAGAAGAAGGCCAAGATGTGGTACTGGAAGTCACTATCAGTAAGGTGGATAATTTTTTCTTTATAAACTTAAACTTTATTTATTACTTTTTATTTTTAATCTTATACTTATTTCACAATTAGTTTTAACATCATTATAACATTTTTCTCTCATTATATAGTCATGATTTTGTCATTCAAATGATTGATAAATCATTATACTAATCATTTTAATCAGGAGAGAAGGGGAGAAGTCATTCAACAGCAGATGAAGTTTTGAAGTTGTTCACCAGAAGAACGATTTTCATTCACCTCATGCACATCAAGGACAGATTATGAAGAAGTCGTTCACCAGATAAATGACTTTAAAAATTATTCACCTGAAGACCGATTTTAAGTGTAATATATTAGTAAATACTTTTAAAAGTGCAGCATATTGATGTATAATTTTACAGTTTGTAGTATTTTGGTAAAAAAGCCTGTCGTGTGGTATTTGTTCGGTTTGACAAAAAATCAAGTATTGGGCATGGGCCTTTTATGCCTGTGACCAAAATAATAATAATAATAATTTAGTCTTACAACTTAATTGCTACAATTAAAAATTTACAATCAAAACATAACTTTTTTTGTTACGTACTGTTTGGTATGAGATAGATAAAAAGAAGAGGAAATGATAGAAAATTTCATCAAGCTCTATTTGAAAAAAAATTTAAAAAAAAACTGGGGTTTTCAAATTTTAATCCAATATAAGTTAGATGAAGTAAAATTTACTATATATGTTATAGCCTTACCGGAGCATCGTCAGGGATTCTTATTTTTGCATGCAAGGGTGAAATCGTTCTTGGTGAATGATTTCAGAAATCGTTCACGCCAAGAACGATTTCACTTTTTGATTTAAGAAAAAATTTAAAAGTGAAATCGTTCACGCCAAGAACAATTTCTGAAATCGTTTACGCCAAGAACGACTTGTGTGTAATTTGAAAATTGTTCTTGCCAATAACGATTTTAAGTGTAGCATATTGGTAAATAGTTTTAAAAGTGTAGCATTTTGGTAAAAAGTTTTACTGTTTATCGTATTTTGGTAAAAAAGCCGAAGTGAAAGTCAAATAAGCAAATAATATGATTTAATAGATCAACATGGAAGAAGGAAAGGATGGGACAAAAGGGAAGCCTTTCACGTGCTCACGCAGGAAAAAAAAGAGAGAGAGAATGATAAATAAAAGTAAAAATGTAAACTTGGTAAGAGAAAAGGTAAAACTGATAGATAAAATTTAATCGGCTGTGAATTTATGAAAAAAGGAGAGAATAAAGAGGGAAAAAAAATAGAAAGATTAAATATATTTTTCTTATAATTAGAATAGGAATTTTTTTTACATATTTTAATTAAATTTTGGCCAAAAATCATATTTTAATTAAATTATATTATTTTAATTATTACGGTTTAACCCGGTCTGACCCCGATCTGACCCATTAACCCTTGAACCAGTACATCAACCGGTTTATTGACCGGTCCGGTTTTTTGTTCCTTGATAATGGTATTAGCAACTTTCATAGCATTATTGACAACTCTAATAACAAGTCGTGTAATTACCTTAATAACTTTCATAACCACAATGATTGCCTAATGAATGAAAAAATTTTGTTGTGCAATTTTTATAAGGGGCTAATATTGAAAACATCAACCTTCATAGAAAATTTTGTTAATGGCACTATAAGAATTGTTAATATCATTATATAACTTGTTAACCTTAGTACTAAAGTTGTAAAATTATCACTTTTTGAGTTTCCTGAAAACTCTGTTATTAACTACTCCTCCGGTCCTGAATATAAGACCCTTATGTAGAGTATATAAGGGTTTTATATTTAGGACCGGAGGAATACTATACTAAACTTATCAATAACGTTAAAGAACTTGTTAACCACGTTACTAAAGTTGTAAAAATGCCAACTTTTGAATTTCCTAAAAAACATATTGTTAAATGATATAATGAATTTGTTAATCACATTATTGGACTTAAAAAATTCCAAAAAAATAGTTGCCGGTTACCAGAGTTTCAGTGATCAGTTGTCGATCGGTTGCTAAAGCTCAGGCAACCGACGACGCTAGGGTTTTAGTGATCAGCCAGTCGATGAAGATGCTTAATGATTTAAAAAAAATTAAAGGGTAATTTGGCCTTTTTAGTAAATTTTAAAATTTCAATTTAGTCATGTGTGCTCAAATGGGAATTTTCATTGTTTATGTAACCAAATAGGAATTTTTAAATTTAAGTGTCATTTTTTCATAAATTAATGTATGCATCATTTTTTTTTTTTTTGAATTCCCTATGAATATTCTTTATGTTTTTTTTTTTTTTGTGTCTAAAGGAGCATTAACCCATTGTTGGCTAATGAGAAAGAAAATCCATGGTGAGATTGGAGCTCTAAAATTCATGCAGTTGCAGATGAAACTGAGGATAACCTTTACTATTTTACTGACATTTGTTATCTTTGATGTAATTCCTTTTGCCAAGATGCTCATAACTAATGGCATCTTTATGCTTTTGATTTTTCCATTGCTTCTTCCTTCGCAGAGGATAGTTGTTGTCTTCTCTGTTCATTTCTTTGATCCACTGTTCTTTCTGATTAAGAATCCATTAAAGGGTTTCAATTATATTTTGCAACATGTTCTAACATTTAGA